TCGTGGCATCCTGCTGACGTTGTAATGTGAATGTTTCCAAATCAGGTTTGGGGTGCATTTTAAAGGGCTGGTCCTTGTGAACAGCACGTGCAGCATGAGACCATTTCCTGGGTAAAATTCTGAGTTTGGGGAGGAATCTCTTTGCTCAGGTAAAGTTGGAGATTTTGTTAAAAATATACAATCAAAACATTAAATGAGTTTACAGTGATCCGTTTCTGCGAAGGAAAATTCCAAACTGACGTTTCTTTTTCTGGATTGTGGCACACAGTATTACAAGCCGAGAATGTGCCAAGTCATCCCGTTGTGCAAACTCTCCATTGAATGTCCATTGCAGCTGGAGTCGCTCAACTATACTCGGCAGCAAAAAAAGTCCAGTACGAATTCAAAATTAGATAGGCACTGTAATCAAAATCATTACAGAAATGGACATAATAAGCGGATCAAAAACATTTTTGGTGTACAATATCTTGACACATCAATGAATAACTCAGCACAATTACGTGAACGATTGCATTCCATTCAGACTCTTGACTTCAGTATCTAGTGTGACCACCACGAGCGGCAATAACTCCAGCACAGAGTCTATTCATGGAGTGCACCAATCGGTTGATGAAGGTCATTGGCACCTTGAACCACACTCTGAGAAAGGCCTGGCGCAATACATCGGCTGTGTTCGGCATTGGTATGACATTATTCAGTCTCCTCTGAATTTCACCCCAAAGATGTTCAATTTGGTTTAAATCATGACTAAGGGCTGGCCACTGCATAATGTTGACACCGTTCTGCTGTAGGAAGTCCCGTGTAGCTCTGGCAGTATGGGTCCGGGCGTTATCATGCTGGAAAATGTTGTTCCGGTGAGGTGCGAAATGTGGTATGACGTGGGTTCTGAATGCTTGGTTGATGTAGCGCACCGCTGTGATGCCGCCTCCTCTCCCTGGACCAAGGTTCTGGAACACCACAGGACCCACTCTCTGGTTCAGGCCTATTCCACCCCATACCATGATGCTTGCACCTCCCCATTAGTCTCTTTCCATAACACATTGGTCTGAGTAACGCCGGCCACGTCGTCGCCATATTCTTGTTCTGCCATCTGCAGTTGATACGCAGTACCGACTCCATCTGTGAACAGAACAGTCCTCCATTGCCTGTATCGCCAGTTTTGGTGTTGTAGGGCAAACTGTAGACGTTGATGAGGGGTGAGGATAGGTCCACGGTAAGGTCTACGGCAATGGAGGTTCCCGCTGTTAAGACGTCGGCGTACTGTATCAGTACTGATTGGTCTCCCGTGTGTTCCCACTGTCTGGCGTGCTGTTTCGGATGCCTGCATGAAGGGATTCCGTACATGCTGTCGCACGACATGGCGGTCTTGTTGTCTTGTGGTCACCCTTGGTCTGCCAGTACGGGGTCGATCATTTGTGGTGTTGGTGACCAAGAACCGTTGCTGCAGTCTGTAGATGGTCCGAACGTTGACCTGGAAGTGATTGGCAACGGCTTGTGCAGTGTGACCAGCTTCAAGTCTTCCTAGCGCCTGGTTCCTCTGAGCTGTCGTGAGTCGTGGCAGCCTGCTGACGTTGTAATGTGAATGTTTCAACCAGGTTTGGGGGTGCATTTTAAAGGGCTGGTCCTTGTGAACAGCACGTGCAGCATGAGACCATTTCCTGGGTGAAATTCTGGGTTTGGGGAGGAATCTCTTTGCTCAGGTAAAGTTGGAGATGTTGTCAAAAATATACACTCAAAACATTAAGTGAGTTTACAGTTATCCGTTTCTGCGAAGGAAAATTCCAAACTGACGTTTCTTTTGCTGCTTAGTATATATGCTGAGTCATTGTGGGAAATCTGCATCGAATGTTTAATACCATGGGCGGATCCAGGAATTATGAAGGGGGGGTTGGGGATCTGGATCCGCCAATGAATACAGTTCAAGTCGTGAATGCCACCGTGACTGTGTTCCTAACATGACGCTACGTTTATCACGCACACCTATATATATATTAGGTGTACTGCTGGAGTCATCCACAGACTGTCTCACAGTCTCAACCATATTATTTTCCCTTTTACCCATCCTTTACTGTAACGCTTTAGCCGTAAATGAGGCAAGTCTAAATTTCCCACAGGTTCACTGCCACCCACTGGGGCTCCTTTTCAATTTAAATGTAGCTGCTTGTTTCTGTGAAAATGATATATTCCCAAAAAACTAAGTGTTAGTCTAACAGTATGTGAATGAGAGTGTCAGTGGCGTCAGACAGGGCGTTTTCTTTCTGCTGTTCTGCTGTATGAAGCAATTTTGTTTTGAGTATGGAGAAAAACGACAGTTGCCACAGACTCAACTTAATTATCATGCTTCTTCCATGCAGGACACAAACAGACATACATGATTTGTTAACAGGAACAGGTAGATATATTGGAATAAAAAGATAGAATATGTAAAGTGTGATTTGAATGTAATTGAAGATGAATATCATTTTCTTTGTGTCTGTCCAGCCTACGACACTTTGAGAAATAAGTATACTAAGAAATATTACTTTGTACATCATAATATTTATAAATTTCCAGGGGAAATTATCAATGTTTCTGTATCATGCCTTTCTAACAGAAAAAAAAGTATTCTCTACTGCCTAATGATATTGTGGGTATACATGTAATATAGGACCGTGGCCTGTTAAGTGCAAATAACGATTGAATGACTGCTTCTGTCCTGTAATCTGGGTGTACTGACATTGACCGAGGCGACGTTAACCACTTAACGAAAGTGGTATGCGCGTTTATCACCATACCGCCACAACACACTGATTATTCATTTGCTGCTTGTCTTTCAGGTGCCACACTTCTCATGAAAATAAAATCCAAACGTTATCACGTCTTGGTGTGAGTCGGTTTGTTTTGTGTTTAAGCCGCACTCAGCTATATTCCACCTACAGTCAACTATACACTAGTGAGTGAGTGAGTTTAGTTTTACGCCGCACTCAGCAATATTCCAGCTATATGGCGGCGGTCTGTAAATAATCGAGTCTGGAACAGACAAGCCAGTGATCAACAGCATGAGCATCGATCTGCGCAATTGGGAACCGATGACATGTGTCAACCAAGTCAGCGAGCCTGACCACCCGATACCGTTAGTCGCCTCTTACGACAAGCATGGGTTACTGAAGATCAATATTCTAACCCGGACATTCATGGGTAAAACTATACATTACAGTTCTATATCTATTACTTCGCTATACTCAATTCGACCAAAGTATATGTATGGCAAGTGGTCGGGACACCCAAACATACCAGTTCGATATATCCTTTATTTTGTTATAAGCCTGTGCGTTATAAACGCACTTTACTGTAAGCATGTATCTCTGTTGCAGATAATCCAGTGATCCACACCGTATTGGTACGATTACACGATAGCAACTGGGTTGGTTGGCTAGTTTGTTGTTTAACGCCGCACTCAGCAATATTCCAGCTTTTGGCGGCGGTCTGTAAATAATCAAGTCTGGACCAGACAATCCAGTGATCAACGGTATGAGTATCGATCTATGTAAATGGGATATGATGACATGTTTCATCCAGGTCAGCGAGCCTGACCACCCGATCCTGTTAGTCGCCTCTTACGACAAGCAAGGGTTGCTGAAGACCAATCTAACCCGGATCTTCACCCATCACATTCTAACATCAACAATCTCAGTTCCTAAACTGGAGCCTGCACGAAGTCTACCTGATAAAGTCAAACTCTACATGCATTATGCTATTTCTTTCGTATTATATCTTTTCATATTTCTCGATGTCAAACCAATCATGATATAATAGTTCTCGTATTCGTTAATATGCATTAACATTAGTACTTACATTCAACATCATGAATGCAACATTCAGCGAAGTTTGTACCCCTTCAGATGCTGACGTCCCGGAATGAGACTGTAATCTGCCCAGTCTTCTTTCTATGTTTGATTCCTTCAAATCTCGTCCATTGAGGAGTCGGAGCGAGACTTGTGACGGCATGGAACTCTGGGTAGGAGAGTGGATTACGTTCATGTATTTCGAGCCTCGCTTTAAAATTTTAATGACCGCTGCGTGAGAAATGTGTATGGTTACCGGTTTGAATCCCGGTTCGTCCGAATGTTTCTAGGTTTATGAAGATCATGAGTGTGTATCATATGACAGTCAATAAATTAACGCTCACACGCTCTCTAAATAGAGCCTGTCTTGTAGATTACCTTGAGTCATCGTTTGTCACCAAAAACGGCATACTTCAGATTATATAGCCACTTCTAGAAATATAGCCGCCTACAGAATTGTATAGCCGCTTCAAGCACTACAAAGCTATCGCTTCAAGAGCGACAGAGATGCTTCAAAGGTGTACAACTACTGACTGACTGAGTGAGTTTAGTTTTACGCCGCTTTTAGCAATATTCCAGCAATATCACGTGGGGGGACACCAGAAATGGGCTTAACACACTGTGCCGGTGGGGGACACCAGAATTGGGCTTAACCCATCGAACCCGGTCTCGCATGACGAGCCAACGCTTTAACCACTAGGCTACCCCACGGCCCTGTAAAACTACTTCAAAAACCAGACAACACTGACTGGGTGATGATTTATTAATCATTCACTTAATTTGTCGATAGGTTGATAATGAGATCACAGTTTGTGTTGGAACAAAAGTTGAAAGACCATATCTTGTCCTTGTTTCCAGTAAACTTCATTTGAAAGATGAGGAAAATCATGGACTAAGTTCAGGTAATTCAGCTTTAATCTGTATATTAGCTGAGACTTCCTTCTGGCTTTGTTATGCCTCGTTTTTTACACAAGTTGATTACAGATGTTGGTTTTTTCAAATAGCAGGGCGTTCAAATTAAAACGATACAGAGGAAAGCTTTCCAAAAACATATTTTAACCCATTTATGAATGCTTTGTCAAAACTGCTGAATGTCTGTCATAAACCATCCATAAGTGTAAAAAGGTCACAGTCCAAGACTCGTCTGAAGATTTAACATCAAAGAAAACATATCCATAATGTGAGGACATATTTATTATCACAGTTATGAACAGCAGAAAATAACATCAGTATTTTCTAGGGGACAGAGCTCTGTGAGCTGGCTGTCCAGTGATTGATATATATGGGCAACAATCCATGCTGTTTGGGTGTGTTGGCATCACCAAGACTGACCACCAGTCATCTCTCACCACTAATACCTGTTTGTAAAATTTGATTTTAAAATTATTTTACTAAACAACAACAAAAATATATTAATTGGAACAAAATGTCTTCAAAAGACGGCACCTGCTTGCCAAATTTCAGCTTCAATGGTCAAGCTATGTTAGTGTGTTTAGTGTTTGTTATTGCACTCAGCAATATGACATCGGTCTGAAAATAATAGAGTTTAAACCAGAAGATCCAGTGATTAACATCATGAGCCTCGATTTGAAATACTTTTTGACACTGTTTCTAACACTATTTTCTCTGAAACAACGAGGAGATAAGTGTGTGGTGGGGTTAGGATATGTTTTTTGTCAGCTTTGCACCTTCATGATATTCGTAACTCATGATGTTCAAAATATTATGCTGCAATGGTTTCATCAAGGTCTAAATTCTAAATGCATGTTTTGCCTCTTGACTAGCTGACCCGACTGGTAGAACAAATTTCAGTACTTTTTGATAAAAGATGCCCCATTTTCATAAAATAGTTTCAGAACAACTCTTAGGTTTTATGAGTCTTTGGCAATATTCATATCACACCATAGAAATGACTTCCATACATAGTACCCATGTAAGGAATCAAACCCAGGTCTTCAGTTTGACAAGCTAGTGCCTTAACCACTGGGCTACCCCAATGTCAGATTATGAAAAGACAACTTTCAAATACATTCCTCCTTTAATTCACAGACACACTACTCAACGTTTGTTAAAGGCTAGACCAGATACCAAAGGTGACTAGGTCCTTAGCAACTGTTGAGTAGTACATATCCATAGGACCTGCCTAACATCATTTCTTGCTATTCTTTGACGAACGCATTCCTGCCATCTCGTCTAGCTTCTTATCCAACTTTCTTTGTAAACCAGCTCGCTTGTTAGGGTCCAGTTTTCTCTGTGGTGCAACATTCCCCCTGAAGAGGATTCCTTCCTTGACCATGGCCTGTCTGGCTGCAGCCTTAGCATCAGCTCCACATCCATGGATCTCAGGGATGTGATGGGCCAGGCAGAACCTCCTCGAACAGAAGTCACAGGTATGACCCAGGGTTGTGGTGAACTGTTTACATTTTGTAAAACAGCACCTATTGTCAAGTTTCTGTACAGTTGCTATCAAACTATCAAAATCATCGTCTTTGATTTTTTCCAGTGCAGATGCTGTACGGTGTAAAGCTGCATCCTGTTTTGTGTTTTTTGTCTTTTTCTTAGATTTGGCCTCAACTTTCGATGACTGGCCTTGACCTTCTGTCAGTTTGGCCTTGACCTGCCTAGCACAATGAACAGAATGCAGCTGGATGTTTGCATTCAGAACCTCCTTACCACATATTTCACAAGTTACTTTATCACTTTTCTTTTCAACCTGTTCCACATTTGTCTCATCACACTTCACAGATGAATCTGTGTGTACAACATCAGGCATAACACTGCCATCATTTGTCGGCTTGTTTTCCTTATTTTCTGGATTCTTCTGTTCCTTTCTGTTTGTCTTAGTTTTGACCCTGACATCAGGTTTATGATCTTGACCTGATGTGTCAGAGGTCATGGCCTTCACCTCCTGATGTACAGTTCGGTTTGGACACAACAATGTGCCTGTCCTTCATTTCCCCTTTACTGATGTGGAGTAAGCCAAGCTTCTCTGATAACTGGAAGAGTTAAAGAAGAGATGCTATAAACACATGAATATATATTATATTTAACTTGTTTGTTGTTTAATGCCACACTCAGCAATATTCCAGCTATAAGATTGCAGTCTGTAAATAATCCAATCTGGACTAGACAATCCAGTGATCAACAGCATGAGCATCGATGTAAGCAAATGGAATATGTTGACAATTGTCAACAAAGTGAGCAAGTCTGACCACCGGATTCTGTTAGTCGCCACTAATGACAAGCATGAGTTGCTGAAGACCAATTCAAACCCGGATCTTCAAGGATAATTATATTTGATCAAAGCTTTAAAATACTTCTAGCAACTGTTGTTTTCCAGCTGACATAATCTAGTTTTGACCACCATTGAAAATAACAAATAATCACCAAATTTTGTCCTGAAATGTTTTTTCATGTCTTACATTTTGCAACATCGTGTTGATGACGACTGTGAGAATCAAACAGTGAATGAGTGAGGGAGAGTGGGTGGGTGCGTGAGTGATCTGTCGGCAATAGTAAATCTTCATGATTGAGGTCAGGTGAGGTGAATATGGGTTTTAGAGCATTCAAAATAACATGCTCGTGTTTGTGGATGTTGACACTTGTACTAGTCAAGGCAGTTTTAAAGTGCAAGCCCTCTGAGATACAATGCCACAATTTAACATGGATATTCCGCCCAGACCCTGTGTAATGAGATTCAGCTGGCCAGTCCTTGTTTATCAAAAAAATGCCAAGCAGCAAGCAGGGAAATAACAAGAACCTTCTCTTAATGTATTTTGGTATTATGTGATCAGAGATCAAACACAAAAACCTTTGGCTCTCCAAGCTAACACTCTATCCACTAGACCACTGTGGCATTCTCTATATCCTGATACCATGTAAGTACAGGCCAAGAAAATGTGTGGCTGACATACCACCAAAGGTCTGCATTTCAGGACATGACTGAATAATCACTTAAAATTCAGTGTGCTGTTTGAACACATGGGATACACTTGGACTAGTGGACCTAAAAATGGCTACAGGTTCGATTAGTGACCATTCATAATTTATGGCTGGGGGTTGATGATGTGTGTGTGTGTGGGAGGGGGTGTTATGATGATGATGATATGTATATGTGTGTGTGTGTTTGTCCACCATTTTGTTCTATGGAAGCAGGAAGGTCATTAATTTTGTACAAAAATATATTAAAAAATTATGCTTACAAATTGGGGGGGAAGGGGGTCATTGGTTTTGTACATGACATGCAGGGCGGGGTCACTTACTTTGTACATAAATTTTAGGGGGTGGCATTCACATTGTTCATGCTTCTCCATGAAAATCACCATCACCCCCTAGCCATAAATTATGAACGGTCCCTTACTATGGTTTGAAACTGAAACACCAAATATACATCTAATGAGGTGCCATGTACCTGGTGTACAATCAGCCTGTCATGAGAGTTGAGAGATGCTGGGAAGTCCAGGTATGTCTGCTCGGGGTTGGCCAGGAAGTCCTCGAGGTACTTGACAAACTCTGCCTCCTTCTCCTCTACATCACGCACAGCACTGAATGGAACATACAGGACAATTAGGGAGCTGAAGATGTACAGGTGGAATTGAGGTACAAATAAGAAAAGAAAGTAAGATACTTTATGGATGACAACTTCTTTATTATATGTGATGTTACGTTTCGTTTGCCAATCAAAAGGATCAAATTTTTTAATTGTTTGTGGAAGTTAAAAAAATAAATAATATATGGGGTGATGATGGTTTTAAGTGGGGTCACCAATTTTGTTTCTGGGGAGGTAGGGGGGGTCATCAATTTTGAACACATGTACGAGGGGCAGTTGTCACTGATTTTTCCACATGTTTTATATAAATGAACTCTTTGTATTGTGTATTCTTTTAATTGCTTTCAATAAATAAATATTTAGTCACTTATCCTTTTGCAAATGCATCAAACAGATGTTGATGCTAAGTCTAAACAATTGTTCTTGATCCCCATCCCTCACCCACTGCTTGAGACTGGGATGTTGGGATGGTATGAGTCGGTACTTACCCCTCCTCCGAAGCTGGCTGCTTGGGTCTTGCACCTCCTTCATTTGACCTTTGACCTGATTTCTGCACCTGCTTCTGGTGACCCTTGTCACCTTTACTCTGTTTATGACCTTCACCTTTGCTTTTAGATTTCTGCTTGGTGGAGGACTTGACAGACAACAGATTCTCCAGTTGTTCAGGACGCGAACTTGTGTGGGTCACCTTGCCGTCTGATGAAACACAAGTGAAGGTCAAGGTGGGGAGATTCTATGGAATGAGGAGTGTAACGGTTCTCAAACCACTTTTAGCACCATCCCAGCAAAACTACAGGAAGCAATATGAAGATGACAGGGGAACAGAACCAGGGTGATCAATGTTACAAGCAAACACTCTAACCACTGGGCTAACCACTCATCCAACATGATTACATACATTTTATCCGTTCCCAGTCCTGATGCTTTCCCAGAAGAAACTTGACTCCATGACAAGATGCTTTTCAATATCCCATACATAATATTTTTTAAAGCAATCCTTTCTGTACAGGCAGCAGCCATGAAATGGGTCAATGGGCCAGAATAGGATGAATTTGCTATAATATATTTAACCATCAGAAGGATGTCAAGCAGCTTTTAAGAAGATGAGAATAACTCTCATTTTCAAGAAGTCAGTTTGTAACTTAACTGTTGCACTTCCTTTCGGTCAAATGCACATCTAAAGAGCAAATATATATCTTAATGCCAGCACTGCGAATGAAAATTTCACTAAGTGACATAATCATCATCAAACAAACTTGAATGAAATTAAGATGAAGTTAAAGGTCACCATGAAAATCGACAAATATTTTCAAGGGCCCTGTGCAAAAATGGTACTTCCCATTAGATGAAGTCTTGCTCTTGAGATCCTCTCACTGACAAGAGTAAAAGGTCGTTAAATTGACCTTCATTGAAATGAAGGTCAAGGTCACCAAAACCTGACTGGGACCTTGAAAATTTTCTTATACTGTGGATGAACCTAGGTACCAAATATGAAAAAGAAGTCAGGTATCTTGCTGGATCTTAAGATATTCCATGACCTTGAAAATTAATGAACCCAGGTCACCAAAATCGACTGGGCCCTGTGCCTTCCCTAGATACTGAGATATCCCCTGACAAGAGTAAAACGTTAAATTGACCTTTGAGAATGAAGGTCAAGGTCACCAAACCTGACTGGGACCTTTTTTTAACTGTGATGAACCTAGGTACCAAATATGAAAAGAAGTGGGATCTTAAGATTAATTTATGCGGACGGGACGGATGGACTGGAGCTAGGTGCTAAACACCGGTGGGGATAATAACCCGCATCCTGGGCCAGGGCCCGCTCCTCAAAGCGAAGTAGTGCTACGACTGTCATAAGTCTTATGTTAAAGTATGGGAGTTATGATCATCTTAGTGCTACGATCGCTTTGAGGAACGGGGCCCTGACCACAATCTTACAACCAGTATACACTGATGGAGACATTTTCCAGTCTTGAATACCCATATGGTGATGTCTTTAATGTTATATATCATGATACATTCCCCCTGGAAATTTCTGGTAAGAATATAGGTTCCCAACAGCCTATGCCTGTCAAAGAGGTGACCAAATGAACTGGGTGTTCAGGATTGACAGCATGTTTTGTGACATGTCATCATATGTTAAGTAGGTAAATCAATGCACTATGTCAGTAACTTGATTGTGTGGTACAGACTCATATATTTACATGCTGTTGTCTTGAATATTGCTTTACCCCTTATTGAGTGAGTGAGTGAGTTTGGTTTTACGCCACTTTTTAGCAATATTCCAGCAATATCATGGCGGGGACACCAGGAACGGGCTTCACACATTTTACCCATGAGGGGAATCGAACCCGGGTCTTCGGCGTGACGAGCAAACGCTTTAACCACTAAGCTACACCACCGCCCCTAATCCCTTATTGGCTTCTTGATCCGTGCCATTTGTTGTCCTTACTCTCCACCTGACCTCATCCAATTATGTACCACTTGTTATTCAATTCCATGCTGTTTTTAATGTTAATCTGATGCATATGTATATAAACTTTTCATCACCTGGCTGTAGTTACTCTTAGACTATGGTGTAAGAAAGTGGTTTTAAACAACAAATAAATAAACATATTCTAAAATCACTGATGCCCATCAAATCCATTAATCAGTTCTCACCTTGAATGTATTCCTGGGCAGACCAGATTTCCCCCCTCTCCGTGAAGTACTCCACCAGGGTCTTCAGGAACTTGTCATGGCTGACTGTCTCCGTGTCACAGATCACTGCCACGTGGCGGCGTGCTCGAGTGATGGCCACATTTATTCTACGATTCTCGGCCAAAAAGCCCACTTCACCTGTTGATCAGGAAAGACAATGGAACATGAAGCTATGAAGAAAAAGGTTTGAATTCAACCAAGGTCACATAGATGGCAAGTAAATATTTATGGTTATCTTTAAAGGGACATTGATTGACTCACAAGCAAAGTTGGTGCTACAAGTAGGGCTGTTCGATTCAATCGCGAATTCAGAGAATCAAACCACATTCACAACCACAATAACTGAATATTCATGAAATTTATCAAACATGTCGAAGTCTGGCAAAATCATTGTCAACACTCTTGTCTATTTGATTTGACAGTAGTATGGTCACTGGTCATTGTCATGATAAATGAAGAGTGAGTGAGTGAGTGAGTTTAATTTTACGCTGCACTCAGCAATATTCCAGCTATATGGCGGTGGTCTGTAAATAATCGAGTCTGGAACAGACAAGCCAGTGATCAACAGCATGAGCATCGATCTGCGTAACTGGGAACCAATGACATGTGTCAACCAAGTCAGTGAGCCTGACCACCTGATCCCATTAGTCGCCTCTTACGACAAGCATGGGTTACTGAAGATCAATATTCTAACCCGGACCTTCACTGGTGTGATAAATGAAGAGAGTCAACATAGTCAAAACATTTACTTTGTTACTGATTCACAGAATGCAATTAATGATAAGTGCTGTCTTGCTTTTGTATTCTTTACCCAATATTTAATTTTGTTCCCCCAATATTTGTGATATGCATGGGTTACTGATGACCAATTCTAATCTCAAAATAATTATCAGTTCAGAAAACAATAAGACACCAATATTGATAGCTTGCACTACATCCATGTACATAGTGAGTGAGTGAGTTTGGTTTTACGCCGCTTTTAGCAATATTCCAGCAACATCACGGCGGGGGACACCAGAAATGAGCTTCACACAATGTACCCATGTGGGGATTCGAACCCGGGTCTTCGGCGTGACGAGCGAACGCTTTAACCACTAGGCTACCCCACCTCCCCCCATGTACATAATCATTTACCTTTTGAATTACTCCTGACAAAAGAGATGACAACAGCTTCTTTCTCCCTCCCTTGGAAGCCGTCCACGGACTTGATCTCCAGTTTAGGGTATGTTGATGACAGTCTCACACGCAGTAGCTCCACCTTCACAGCAAAACATGGCAGTTTAATTTAGTTTTCAACACAGCAATAACACAGCTATATGACAGTGACCTGTTAAGGATGATCAGATTTTTCATGTCTGTGTTTAAGTAGAACAGGTATAAAATGACCAGTTATAACTATTTACTAACAGTACTAGCTTAAAATGAAGTTAGGCACCACATACATCTATGAGCTCTAGCAAATGTACATGTAAATTTAATCAAAGAATCCAAACAGGCTGGTAATGTGTGTCACTTCAATTCCACATACTCAGTTTGTTGGTTTTTTGCTAGAACCACAAATTATGCTTAGGCCAGACCAATTTTATTTTTGTTTTACAGATTTTTGTCCTCAGAACACCTAAAGGCAGGAGGAATTTTGATTTTTTTTAAATCACTAATCAAAGTAATGTTCCTTCTTAATAATAAAATATTTTACTTTTGGCAATTTATGAAATGTATATGGGACAAAAAAAACAACCAATAAAAAAAATTCTTGGAAGTTTACATGTTTGGCCAATAAAAACGCTAGCATTTTATTTTGTGAGCGGGGAAAATAAATTTTTATATATTTTCTTATTCTTGAAAAAATACGACAGGCGGATCCGTAATAAAAAGAAATAAAATTGGTTTGCCCTTATGTACTCTCTCAAACCCCTATCCTCACAATAGTGACATGCTTCTGATAAACACATTGATGACATGCACCAGCACGTTTTTTCCCAGCCCTCTGTTTGACATCTCACACCCATCACTCACTCTACAAAGAGAAGGTCTCTTGCCATCAAAGCACAGTACAATACAGGTGTCTTACCTGAAGGTTATAAGGGGCAATAACTGCAATATCCTCAGGTCGCAGACCACTAGATATCAATTTCTCAACATGTGAGGCCACAATATCAGCTTCACCTGTAATTAAAAATGAAAGAGTTTTAGTGGTGAACCTGAAAGATAACAGTTTGAGTGCCTTGGAAATATCATATGTCTAAGAAACATCTAGAGAGTTCCATGATAAGATCAGCAATAAATAGTAGACAAAGGAGAATCATTGGTCTGCATTCTCCAAATAATTAGAGTCTGGTACATCTTCAATCATAAAAATGAATCTAACATATGTTATAGTCCACAGAAACATACAAAAATCTGTACTTTTCTGTAGTCTCTAAATCTTCAACCTTAGCTTTGGGGAAGGTGGGGTAGTCTATTGGTTAAAGTGTTCACTGGCCATGACCAAGACCCCTGTTCAATTTCCCACATGGAGAAAATGAGTGAAGCCATTTCTGATGTTCTCCGCCATCATATTGCTGGAATATTGCTAAAAGTGGGGTAAAACTATACTCAATCACTCAACACCAAACCTCACTTTCAACCAGCACAGAACTATCTTTTTATCACCCCAACACATAATTGCTTTGAAATGAGACTAATCTCACCTTCATTTCCCTTGGACACTTCTTCGGGGAGTTCCAGTTCATACAGGTCACAACCGGCTGTATCTACCAGCAACAGGGGACAACTAGTTTCCTCACAGTCACTCACACCAGGCAAGTCTCTGCAGTTTGGGGATTGAAGCAATGAGTATACAGCCTCCATTGTTCAAAATGTTACAAATACTGTCTCTGTCTGAATAACAGAATGTCATAGATAGCTAATAAAAAACTGGTAATTCAATCTGAGTTCACCTGAGCAGATGCGTCTTGACAGAGTCATGAGCGATGAGCCGGCCTTCGTACAGCTGGTCAGAGGACCACTGCATGATGTTCTCGTTCATACGGTACTGCGTTGTCAACATCCTCACCACCTCGTCCCCCTGCTCCTTCAACACTCGCTCCATCAGCGTCAGCTCAAGACCATTCCGAGCTGCTCTGGAACAAAACAAAGACATAGTACTGGTAAGGGACCGTTCATAATTTATGGCTGGGAGGTGGGGGTGTTTTATTTCTCTTTTGTGATGATGATGATTTTTATATAGAAGCATGTACAATGTGAATGACACCCCCCCCCCTTAAATCATCACCACATACCCACCCACACCCACACCCCAGCCCAGATAGCATTCAGACGTTGGGCCAACTTCTGAATGCTATCTGGGACACTCCTAGCCATAAATTATGAATGGTCCCTAAACATCATAGAGACAGATCTTGTGTGTTTTCAATTTGCAGGTTTCAAACGTAGATTCGAAAACATCACTGTGGCGCTGTGAAGACCTCAACTCCCATAATTTAACACAGGCTTATGATAGTCGCTAAGGCCACTTTGTGGAATGGGATCCGATGATAGGTGACACTCACTGTCCTGTATAAAAGCATAGAGTTATGTCCCCTTATATCCAAATACTGGATTATGAATCGGTATCACACTACTCGCCAATACTGTTTGCTTCAATATACATGTGACACAATGGCCCTCAACTGCCATATGTTCTCGAGTACTTTTCTTGTTGAGTCTATTTGACAGAATAAAGTATAAAGTGACATTGTTTATCTCTCATGCTGAATTGTGTAGAAAGATGATATCTGACTGGCTCAATACCAAATATCATTGGGTGGTCAGGTTCACATGGCCTCCTATGATGGGTTTGTCAGATCGCAATTGAGAGCTGCATCTTAATGGAGTAAAAGATCTGTTCTGAATAAGCTTGCTGATCAAATAACGACAAACAGGTAGCCATACAGTATATTGTTGAAAGGGAAACGTACTCATGTGAGAGTATAGTGGGAGGCAGCTGTCGATGATCCCCAGCCAACACACAGCGAGGAGCTCGGAGCAGCGCCATCCAACACGCAGCCTCAAGTGCCTGGGTAGAAACATAGTCAACTTCAATATTCTTTAGTTTCCTCATGGTGATTTCATATGAGAAATAGAGCTGGCTACACTTTCATTTTTTATAATCTTGATTGGTGTTGGTTTCGATAATGGTTTCGATGACTCCACAGTTATTATGCAGAACAAGTCAGACCTTACTTCCGGTCACAATTTATATGCACTGTTTGTGAACGTACCTGGGAACATTCGTCAATGACAAGCAGGTCAAAGTGTTCCTCATCCAGAAGTCTCAGAGGTCCAGCGCCAGAGGCGCTGGTTAGTGTTACCAAGACAACATCAGCACGGCGCAGTATCTCCCTTGTCGCTGTCTCCTCCCTCTGGACCAGCTCCTTACGTAGATGCCGCATCTCCTCTCGCAAACCCCGCTTCTCTCCCTTGTTCCGGGTCTGCTTCACTTGAGACTGAATCATACACAGAAGCATTATACTGTAGTCATTTTCATGGCTAATCAAGGGATTCGATACTCAGCTGTCATACCAAGACAATGAGAGATGTTACTTATTATTACCCTGCCTGGCCCTTGATGTTAACAGTTAAGGGGTTAAACGGAATGGTCGAGTCTCTATGATGTGTGTAATTTGAGCTTTCTTCATAAAGTGCAGGATGGTATCTCAGGTATCGCATGTCGGACCTACATCTGATATAAAACCCAGGTGAGTGAGTGATTGAGTTTTGTTTTATACCGATTTTAGCAATATAAAAGCAACATCAAGACAGGGAACACCTGAAATGGGTTTCACACATTGTACCCATGTGGGAAATTGAACCCAGATCTTTGTCGTGACGAGAAAACATTTTAACCACTAGGCTGTCTCAAATGAACATGAGGCAACAGAACACTTTAACTGGGCCACTCTACTGATCTTTAACCCTGAGGTTATCATTAATGTTTCATTAACTAACAAGTACGTAATACATTAACACTGTACAAAAATACAACATGGCTAGATTCTGTTTACTTATAAAACAATGTCAACCCCAAATAATAAGATTGTCACTATTGGATTGTAACTGTCATTGGGTAACTCACAATGGCCTTGTCCAGATCTCGACGTACATCATGGACCAGTTTATTCTCCTCACTACCAGAGACGATGGCGTCTAAGGAGTACTTCTGAATGTGGGGAAGCAGACGGGCAGGGTGGCCGATCCTCAAAATCTTTTGCAGATGATGAGACAGACGCTCGACCAGGTTGTCAACAGCAACATTAGACGGGGCACATGCCAAAACCTAAAACCATAAAAGGCCTGACAAAAACACCCAGAATTGTTGAAATTTGCAGACCAAAAGGTCAAATGTCATGTTCTTGTCCTTATCGCATATTTCTTTTCTCTTCATTCTATATCAGAAGACTTCTGTTTGGAAACCAGAAAAGTGGCTTTATAATTTTTTCATACAAATGGCCTGTCAAGAGTTTTTTGTTTAGACTTCTAGACAATCATTCGAGGAATGTGTGCAAACTTGAAGCAAACATAGTGTGTGTATTTTATGCTATATCCATCTCTTTCAAAGTCTTGATAGTAAAATTATACGAGACCGCACCGATAAATAGATGTAGCTAGCTTTACTTAAAAAATAGGTTGGAAACTAACACCTTTTGTGATTGGCTAGACTATTTTGATGGACCAATCAGCGAGCGCGTACGTTGCCGGTAAGGTAATGCTATTAAAAGGCGCGAAAATTATGTATCGCGATACGTATCGTATCGTGACCTTAAAATCGTGATACGTATCGTATCGTGAGATCTGTGTATCGTGACACCCCTAGTACCTTCATGCCCCTCCTGACTGCTTGGAGGATGATCTCCACCACCGTGGTTGTCTTCCCTGTCCCAGGGGGGCCATGGATCACGGACAGTTCACGCTGGCGAAGTGCAAAGTCAACAGCCTCTCTCTGAGATTTATCCAAGGACTCATTCACGTACTTGATATCTGAAACATTAGAGACAAGATTCATCAAACTGTGCATGACTCCTTGGGAGGCCAAAAAATGAAATGATACACTGACGACATGATATGCTGATGACATGATATACTGATGACATGCTGATGATATCATACACTGATATGACATATTGATGATATGACATACTGATCACACAATATACTGATGACAAACATTGATGACATGACATGATGAAATGACATACTGATGACATGATATATTGATGATATGACATACTGATGACATGATATACTGATGACATGATATTGATGATATGACATACTGATGATATGATATACTGACATATGATGACACGATATACTTAATGACATACTGATGACATGATATACTTGTGATATGACATACTGATGACATGACATATAGATGACATGACATATTGATGACATGACAATATTGATGATATATAATGATGATATGACACAATGATGATCACAACATATTGATGATATGACATATTGATGATATGACATGATATGATGACACATATGAACATATTGATGACATGATATATGACATACGATGACATATATAATAATGATATGATATATTGATGATGACATGATATACTGATATTACATACTGATGACATGATATAGTGATATGACATACTGATGACACGATATAGTGAAATGAAATACTGGTGACATGATATAGTGATATGACATACTGGTGACCTGATATAGTGATATGACATACTGGTGACATGATATATTGATATGACATACTGGTGACACGATATAGTGATATGACATACTGGTGACATGATATATTGATACTGGTGAAATAGTGATATGACATACTGGTGACATGATATATTGATATGACATACTGGTGACATGATATACTGATATGACATACTGGTGACATGATATATTGATATGACATACTGATGACACAATATACTGGTATGACATACTGATGACATGTTATACTGATATGACATGCTGCTAACATGATATACTGATGACATGACACTGATGACATGATATACTGATGATATGACATACTGATGACATGATATACTGATGACATGGCATACTGATGACATGATATATTGATGATGACATACTGATAACATGGCATACTGATATGTTACATTGATGATGACATACTGATGACACAATATAGTGATATGAAATACTGATGACACAATATACTGATATGATATACTGATGATATGATATACTGATATGACATACTGCTGATATACTGATGACCAGGTGTACTGATGACATGATACACTGAAGATATGAAATACTGCTGGAATTTGTCTAGAGGCATCTCATAACCTTTCATAATCTCCACAGCACATTGAAAATGATTCCCCAAACTTGACAAAGAGTTGATATTTGCTAACCTGTTGGGTCAGTAGGGGGGAGACAACTCAGAAACGCCAAACAGAATGTTGACAAGACGGGAAGCCCTTCCACTGGAGTAGTTGTTCAGATCATTCAGTGCTCTGGAAAAATAAGTGTCATGATTTAAGAATGAGTGAAGTAATGTTTCCTCATGCAGCTGTCCACAATATAACATATATTACTAATATTACATCCCACAATGCAATCAGAACAAGACAGCTAGTGGTTGGTTCCATCAATCCATGGGATAAAGAAATGATAACACACAATCAGCCACACCCCATTCATAATACAATTTTAATACAAACTATAACAGTGACAACTTTAAAACGTATTATCAAAGTCATAGAGCTAACATGGCTTTGGGAACTGGGGTCAATTCCACAAAGCCATCTCGCTTCATTAGACATAATACTAAGATCGTGGAATGGGACCTTGGCTGATTGTTTGAACTCATGATACAGTTCTATTCACCAAATATGTGAGTGAATCGTAACAGCCCTACTGCACAGTGCAGGCAGCTACCCACCTTTTGAGGCGCCTGTATGTCACATCATTGGCCAGCTTGGTGACCTTGTACTGGACCTCATCATCAAGACTGAAGATGTCATGTGTCTCATCAAAAGCAATGCTTATCTGTGACTGTCCCACCTTAGACACAATCCCAGAAGCCAGTGATTCATTCTGTGTTTCTCCCTGGGATAAAGTCAGACCAACAATATCTCCTGTAACAGAAACAGCAGCCATTTAACTCAAAATTTAAAGGTTTCTAAGTGTTTAAAACTGAAGAAAGTTGAGAACAATGTTCTTCTTTCAACTTCATAATGAAAGTATTTGTTCGTTTACTAGTATTTGTTTGAACTTCAGTGCTTCACTCGCTAATATTCACAGCTATATGATGGCAGTCTGTTAATAATGAAGTCTGTACCAGACAATCCAATGATTCTAATGAATATGAAACCATGTACACATACCTGGGGTGAGATTGTGTGAAGGAAAGTCTTTCCCTGCCCAGAAAGGCTCAAAGGTCACTAATGTTCTTCCATAGAGACCTGATTTTCTTCCTGCCAAACGAAGTTTCAGCAAACACACACCTCGTCTCTGTAATTCTTTTGGTGGTAGTTTCTCTGTTAGCACCCTGTAAAGATTCAGTGAAGAGAATCTATCCACATGTGTTTAGTGAATAATGTTACACTTCACATCGGCAATTTTACAACCATTTATGGTGAGCAACATTTACATACAGATACAGAAACAAGGAACATGAATGGTTCAGTGAAGAATGTGTTCTCAATATTAGTTAAGAGAATGGGATTCTCATTTATTTAGAAACATTGTCATCTGTTGTTAAAGATGACTAAACTTGGCTTACATCAGTCTATAAATTGATTCCACAAATGTTAGAGCCACAGTACAAGCTTAAAATACAACTTGCAGAAATAATGTGTACAGCCATGTCAAGGGAAGATTAAGCAATACATATCCCAGTGGATGCTGAGTGAGTGAGTGAGTGAGTGAGTGAGAGTGTGAGTGAGTTTTATACAGCTTTTACATGTTTTAGCAATATTCCAGCAATATCACAGCAGGAGACACTAGAAATGGGCATCACACATTGTACCCATATGGGGAATCGAACCCGGGTCTTTGTCATGACAAGCGAACACTTCATCCAATAGGCTACCCCACCTCCCCAATTAAACACATAAACCAGTGTATAAAATATAGCCCGTCCCACCGTCCTGGAAGATCTATTTTTGTGAAGAACGGTCTACTACATAAGTAAGGCCGTCCTTTGGTCGGGGGAAATATTTGATAAAAAAAACCTTAACTTGGTAGAATTAAGAGTTTCAGTTTTTGGGACTGGCTGTGTCTGTTCAGGACTGGTCACTTTTTTGTACTGCCAGTCCTTGGACAAGCCACATTTTTAAAACTATTTTATACACTGCATAAACTGTTGCAACCCAAATCAAGTTCTATTAAAGATAATTATTTTTGTACATTCATTTTAATATAGGCATACATATCTGTAGTCCAGCATATGACTAGACGACTGCACTATACCAAGGTGTGCTCGATGTAGGCCTTGGCTGGAATACGAGTTTATTCATATGAACTAACATATATCAACATGCAGCCAATGCCATGAAAGAGCGTGAATTTCATTCTGAAATCATATTCAGTGTGACATTAAAAAGCAGGTGTATGAGAACCGATTCTCATTGCTTCACTAACGATTGTGAAACGAGGACAGAGATGCCGAGGTTAACACCTCACTAAAAGAGAACGTGCACTCCAGGCATGATTCAGGTTAGCACCAGCAGCAGGGATATTGCTTGACAACTTGGACTTCACACTCCACCATCGTTAGGCTTCATAGACGCACATCAGTAGACAGGCAGCACCCGTGACCTTCAATGACCCTTGGCAACAAAGTGTTACTTATCGCCCATCAGGATCCCCATATTGGCCTTTGTCCATATCAGTGATTGAACACTGCCGCACCGCCAGGACTGCTGCACTAGTTCGGTTGACGTGGGGGTCATCAGCGCTGACTCCATGCGAATTTCACACGCTACAGGGCTCCCATGCCTCAACGGTCTCCACGTTGGACCAATTCTGACTGACGGACACCGTGAATGAGCTTATAGAATGGACTAGCAGGCATTTTCAGTAAAGGTTACAACAATGGCATGGTGCGGTAGTCATCGACGACGAGTCACGTCTTTCCACCCACGTAATGCTGACAGCCGATTACGTTGTTTGGCGTGAGAGACGTGGTGAATGTTATGCTGATGAGTGTGTGGTCTGTGACAGACCCTTGGGTGGTGGGAGGTCATGGTCTGGGGTGGAATAAATTACAATCACAGGACTGCCTTCATGTCTGTCAAGGAGAGTTAACGCCCTTTTATTACCGTGAGCAGATTCTTCAGAATCACATCGTATCTGTCTTCAATCACCACCAAGATGTCCATACTTTTCAACAGGACAACGGTGCCAAGGGCACATACACAACAAGATTTTCCCTGCAGTATTCCTGCCCAGCAACACATCCAGGTTATTCATTGGCCAGCACAGTCGCCAGATGTGTCCCCCATGGAGCACTTGTGGGACGAAATTGGTCAAAGTCTTTCAGCATAATTACATCCCACAATGCAATCAGAACAAGACAAGCTAGTGGTTGGTTCCTTGGGCATCAATCCATGGGATAAAGAAATGATAACACACAATCAGCCACACCCCATTCATAATACAATTTTAATACAAACTATAACAGTGACAACTTTAAAACGTATTATCAAAGTCATAGAGCTAACATGGCTTTGGGAACTGGGGTCAATTCCACAAAGCCATCTCGCTTCATTAGACATAATACTAAGATCGTGGAATGGGACCTTGGCTGATTGTTTGAACTCATGATACAATTCTATTCACCAAATATGTGAGTGAATCGTAACAGCCCTACTGCACAGTCCAGGCAGCTACCCACCTTTTGAGGCGCCTGTATGTCACATCATTGGCCAGCTTGGTGACCTTGTACTGGACCTCATCATCAAGACTGAAGATGTCATGTGTGTCATCAAAAGCAATGCTTATCTGTGACTGTCCCACCTTAGACACAATCCCAGAAGCCAGTGATTCATTCTGAGTATCTCCCTGGGATAAAGTCAGACCAACAATATCTCCTGTAACAAAAACAGCAACCATTTAACTCAAAATTTAAAGGTTTCAAAGTGTTTAAAACTGAAGAAAGTTGAGAACAATGTTCTTCTTTCGACTTCATAATGAAAGTATTTGTTCGTTTACTAGTATTTGTTTGAACTTCAGTGCTTCACTCACTAATATTCACAGCTATATGATGGCAGTCTGTTAATAATGAAGTCTGTACCAGACAATCCAATGATTCTAATGAATATGAAACCATGTACACATACCTGGGGTGAGATTGTGTGAAGGAAAGTCTTTCCCTGCCCAGAAAGGCTCAAAGGTCACTAATGTTCTTCCATAGAGACCTGATTTTCTTCCTGCCAAACGAAGTTTCAGCAAACACACACCTCGTCTCTGTAATTCTTTTGGTGGTAGTTTCTCTGTTAGCACCCTGTAAAGATTCAGTGAAGAGAATCTATCCACATGTGTTTAGTGAATAATGTTACACTTCACATCGGCAATTTTACAACCATTTATGGTGAGCAACATTTACATACAGATACAGAAACAAGGAACATGAATGGTTCAGTGAAGAATGTGTTCTCGATATTAGTTAAGAGAATGGGATTCTCATTTATTTAGAAACATTGTCATCTGTTGTTAAAGATGATTAAACTTGGCTTACATCAGTCTATAAATTGATTCCACAAATGTTAGAGCCACAGTACAAGCCTTAAATACAACTTGCAGAAATAATGTGTACAGCCATGTCAAGGGAAGATTAAGCAATACATATCCCAGTGGATGCTGAGTGAGTGAGTGAGTGAGTGAGTGAGAGTGTGAGTGAGTTTTATACAGCTTTTACATGTTTTAGCAATATTCCAGCAATATCACAGCAGGAGACACCAGAAATGGGCATCACACATTGTACCCATATGGGGAATCGAACCCGGGTCTTTGTCATGACAAGCGAACACTTCATCCAATAGGCTACCCCACCTCCCCAATTAAACACATAAACCAGTGTATAAAATATAACCCGTCCCACCGTCCTGGAAGATCTATTTTTGTGAAGAACGGTCTACTACATAAGTAAGGCCGTCCTTTGGTCGGGGGAAATATCTGACAAAAAAAAACTTAACTTTGTAGAATTAAGAGTTTCAGTTTTTGGGACTGGCTGTGTCTGTTCAGGACTGGTCACTTTTTTGGACTGCCAGTCCTTGGACAGGCCACATTTTAAAAAAAATTTATACACTGCATAAACTGTTGCAACCCAAATCAAGTTCTATTAAAGATAATTATTCTTGTACATTCATGTTAATATAGGCATACATATCTGTAGTCCAGCATATAACTAGACGACTGCACTATACCAAGGTGTGCCTCGATGTAGGCCTTGGCTGGAATACGAGTTTATTCATATGAACTAACATATCTGTAGTACCTGTGCGACAACAACCCCTTCACTGGCTTCAGCCCCATTTTCTTGTTCTTGTGGAGCGTATAGCTATCAAACATATTTCTATTTTCACTTTTGTCAAATGCAATGGGCAATTGTCCCAGGATTATATTGAGAGTGAGTTTGCGATTTGATCCAACATCATTCGGATCCGCTCTTGACTAAGGGACGCAACTGCACTGCATGGTATTTTGTGCATAATAACAATAACTCTTCGACTCCAACAATGCAAATTTGTTTAGGTACTGATAGAATTTTATTAGTGTGAGGATCCGTTGATCGAAGAATGTTTGTTTGTTTGTTTTTTGTTATGATGGAAATAACAGTCTGACACTAGTGACAGTGACAATATCTGACCCATACCTCGTTTCTTCAACTTCTGCTTCTCTCTCCTTATTCAACAAATCCAAAGTTTTTCTAACAAAAAGTTCCAAAGTCATTTTCTCCGAATTTTCGTCCATTTCCCATGGAGTCTCAAAATACAAACACACAACTTGCACAAATCATGGGCGCAGCCATGTCAAGGGAAGATAACTCTAACCGAAAATACTTGCTCGTTGTTATTCAGTCTGCAGATAGCCGGTGTGTTCAAATTCGATTATTCCAGATTAAACAAAACTAATATATATTTTTCGTTTACCTTGTTATATATATTGATTGATTTGACTCTATTAATTTTAAATAAAATTGAGTTTTTAGTCAGAAAACGTTCGTATAATATTATGTGGTGTTTCACAAACACGTACTACAACAAGGGATGCAACTCGTATGTGACTATGTGCACAACGCACTATTACACACGATCGAGATGAGTCTGTGGGGTTACGATACTATGTGACGTATGTATTTTCATCATTTACTTTGTGATTAAATACGATATCAGTCGTAAAATGCGAGATCGACGTTTCGCTAGAGTGAAGAGTTATTCTTTGAACGGCTGTCACTCTGCCTTAAGTTTGAAAATACATAATATTAAAAGCACGTCATATATAAAAATTGTTTAGTTTTATGTCTTTCAATAACCAATGGCAACTGTGATCATTTGTCATGTCAGTAAATTGAGTTAGATTCCATATTCTCCACGTATTTGAATTGCGAAAGTCTCGATTCTCAATTACTCCCACAGTGCCCAACAATATCTATGTTGTAAATCTATGTTGAAAACAAACACCACTGATTAATTCATGCAAATCATGCAAATATTCATTGTAATGAATAATCCTTACGTGTTCATTTTAATGAATAATCCGTATATATTCATGTTGATAAATGATCTTTACAGATTCATTTAAATGTAAATTCTTTACAGATTATCTTTAATGTATAACGCTGTACAGACCCATGTGAATGTATTATCTTGAACAGATCCATGTGAATGTGTTATCTTGTACAGATCCATGTGAATGTATTATCTTGTGAATGTGTTATCTTGTACAGATCCATGTGAATGTGTTATCTTGTACAGATCCATGTGAATGTATTATCTTGAACAGACCCATGTGAATGTATTATCTTGAACAGACCCATGTGAATGTATTATCTTGAACAGATCCATGTGAATGTATTATCTTGAACAGATCCATGTGAATGTATTATCTTGAACAGATCCATGTGAATGTATTATCTTGAACAGATCCATGTGAATGTATTATCTTGAACAGATCCATGTGAATGTATTATCTTGAACAGATCCATGTGAATGTATTATCTTGAACAGACCCATGTGAATGTATTATTTTGAACAGATCCATGTGAATGTATTATCTTGAACAGATCCATGTGAATGTATTATCTTGTACAGATCCATGTGAATGTATTATCTTGAACAGATCCATGTGAATGTATTATCTTGAACAGATCCATGTGAATGTATTATCTTGAACAGATCCATGTGAATGTATTATCTTGTACAGACCCATGTGAATGTATTATCTTGAACAGATCCATGTGAATGTATTATCTTGAACAGATCCATGTGAATGTGTTATCTTGTGAACGTGTTATCTTCTAGAGATCCGTGTGAATGTATTATCTTGTACAGATCCATGTGAATGTATTATCTTGTACAGATCCATGTGAATGTATTATCTTGAACAGATCCATGTGAATGTATTATCTTGTACAGATCCATGTGAATGTATTATCTTGAACAGATCCATGTGAATGTATTATCTTGTACAGATCCATGTGAATGTATTATCTTGTACAGATCCATGTGAATGTATTATCTTGAACAGATCCATGTGAATGTATTATCTTGTACAGATCCATGTGAATGTGTTATCTTGTACAGATCCATGTGAATGTATTATCTTGAACAGATCCATGTGAATGTATTATCTTGAACAGACCCATGTGAATGTATTATCTTGTACAGATCCATGTGAATGTATTATCTTGTACAGATCCATGTGAATGTATTATCTTGTACAGATCCATGTGAATGTATTATCTTGTACAGATCCATGTGAATGTATTATCTTGTACAGATCCATGTGAATGTATTATCTTGTACAGATCCATGTGAATGTATTATCTTGTGAATGTGTTATCTTGTACAGATCCATGTGAATGTATTATCTTGTGAATGTGTTATCTTGTACAGATCCATGTGAATGTATTATCTTGTACAGACCCATGTGAATGTATTATCTTGAACAGATCCATGTGAATGTATTATCTTGTGAATGTGTTATCTTGTACAGATCCATGTGAATGTATTATCTTGTGAATGTGTTATCTTGTACAGATCCATGTGAATGTATTATCTTGTACAGATCCATGTGAATGTATTATCTTGAACAGATCCATGTGAATGTATTATCTTGTGAATGTGTTATCTTCTACAGATCCATGTGAATGTATTATCTTGTGAATGTGTTATCTTCTACAGATCCATGTGAATGTATTATCTTGTGAATGTGTTATCTTCTACAGATCCATGTGAATGTATTATCTTGTGAATGTGTTATCTTCTACAGATCCATGTGAATGTATTATCTTGTACAGATCCATGTGAATGTATTATCTTGTACAGATCCATGTGCATGTATTATCTTGTACAGATCCATGTGAATGTATTATCTTGTGAATGTGTTATCTTGTACAGATCCATGTGAATGTATTATCTTGTACAGATCCATGTGAATGTATTATCTTGTACAGATCTATGTGAATGTATTATCTCGTACAAATGTATATAAATTTATTACCTCGTACAGATCCATGTATTTATAAGTATATGTACAAACAGAGACCATATAATATTGAATGGTCTCTGGTACAAACGGTTGAAGATTCATGTATATCAATTGGGCTGTTTTTCTGAAACCCGTAATTTGAGAGACGTAATGATACTTATATTTATGTTAAAGGCAGGGTTTGAAAGAATTGAAAAAGGGATCGTCCTGTTTATGAAAATGAAACAGCAAGTTACTGACATACCAGAGAACAATGAATACTGAAGTCAATCCCCTTTTGTTCCAGGAATCGAGGACTGTATCCTCCTAAATTCTCATTGGCCTAGGAGTCACGTGACTTCTAGCATTGGCGTCATTATGTGGTGGTGTCGCTAGATAGGCATTCTGTATAACAACAAACACTCCCGTCGCAGTACCCTAAGTCCCTGTAGTCTCACATGAACCACAGATCACAGATCACAGACTCTGATGCTCTCGCTTATTCCACAAGTCTATAAGCAACGTTTCAAATATGTAACCACTGCGTAGCAAAAGGTGTAAAAACTCTTCCTTCCTCAGCTTTAACACAGTGCTGATCACTCGCTATGATCAAATATAAACGCGGGAGTACACTGTGATAGTGAGCGTAAAATGTACATAAACTATTCTATGACTCATGGTTGTAGACACCAGTTTTATTGGGATTATTTCCCTGAAAAGAACGTTCACGGAAAAGTGTTTTCCGTGGCTTATATACAGGGGCGGTTGCAGCTTCTTCTTTTTGTGTGTGTGTGTGCGTGTGTGCGTGTGCGTGTGTGTGCGTGCGGTGCGCGCGCAGGCGCGCGCTCGGGCGCGGCCCACAGTTCATTTTCACCATTGGGGGGAGGCGCACTCTGGAACCGCCTTTGTATGTGTATGGTTGTAACTGTATATATACCCGTAATTCTACAGGAATGGTTTGTGCACATATGTATATGCTTTACTTGTTCATAATATTGGTGTACATTAGGTGTGAATTAAATAAACTCTGTGTGTGTGTGTCCGATCGTGATCAGAATACATAACTTGAATCGTGACCTGTAACTGGTGTAGCGTGGATTATATCGTCTTGTAAACCAGTACTAGCGCCACTCTCTCGTTAACGCCCCATCAAGATCTCGGCCTGACGAGATTACCACCTGGGTGCCTGTCACAGCACTACCAAACACAGTCCCAAGTGCCGAGTTGACTATAGCCTTATCTAAGAAAGGAGATATACTTTTCAACAAAACCACCTGATGGTTACTTCAGCTTTTTCAAGCATAAAGAAGTGAAGCTGTAAGAGTGTTTAGCCTTTTTTATGTGCGTATGTAAAGATAGCAGAGTCTCACCTTCCTATCACCGAAAATTCAGAAATTTTCACTAAGGATAAAGAAGATCAGCTCCACAATTTTCCGTTTTCCTTTCCTCTTTATTGCTTTCGTTCTTTGGAATTCATCTACTTCACTCTACATTTTTATTCACTTTACACTTTTTGAAGGCTTGTTTTTGCTTTTTTTTATCTAAAAGAGACACGTGAAGATCCGGGTCATAACTGGTCTCAACAACCATGCTTGTGTTAAAAGACGACTAAGGGATCGGGTGGTCAGGCTCGCTTATTTTATTTTATTTTACCCATATTTCATAGATCGATGCTCACGACACCAGTCACTGGATTGTCAGGTCCAGACTCGAATATTTCCAAACTGCCGTCACATAGCTGGACATTAAGCTGAGTGTGGCGTTCAACAACAAACGAATTTCAAAGATGCATAGGAATTCTGGGTTAGAATAGACACATAGTACCCTATGATGGTCGCCAGAGGGATCCAGATTGGTCGTGAGGTCAATATTGGTGACTTGCTCATTGTGCGTCATCGTACCTCCATTACAATATCAGTCACTGGATTGTCTGGTTCAGACTCGTCACCAAGCCTGAATTATATGCTGAGTAATCCTAGACAAAAAAGGTAATAACTTTGTTAGTAAGAAGATATGGGTTTATGTTTTGAAAGAAATGATGCATATATTATGTCATCCTCCGATATCTCCAGGGTATACGTTCCGATAAATCGTGCGTGCGATTTATCGGAACGTATACCCTGGTGATATCGAGGATGATATTACGTATCTTATGAAAATGTGAGACAATGTCACACGAATAGCGAGGAGTAGGGGAAGATTATTTGTGTTAGTTACAGACAAGGACAACTAACCTTCAACTAACACACCAGGAAGTACGTTTGGTCACGAACATAATGATGTACCTGAATCTATTTTACATTGACAAGGAAAATGCCCGCCATGTTTGTAGAGAGAGTG